TGAACTCTATGGATATTAAAGCAGCCTTTTTACAGGGTAAAGCCCTAACCAGACACATCTACGTGGGACCATCTCAGGAAGCACAAGGTAATGGAACTGTATGGAAGTTAAAGAAATGTGTATATGGACTAACAGATGCTTCATTATACTGGTATAATCGAGTCAAAGAAAACATGCAACAGTTTAGGGCCACTATATCAATGGTGAAGAATCGCTGACAGACAATGAAATGGACACTTTGAAGTCAAAAATTGGTCAAATACTATGGGTAGCAAGACAAAGTAGACCTGACATGATGTGTGATATATCTGTCTTGGCGTCTGACACTAAACATGCTACCGTACAAACTCTGCATTATGCAAACAAACTTGTCAGAAAACTCAAATCTGATGAGGTGACCTTGAGGTTTCAACACCTAGGAGAGAACAGTTCCCTTAAACTTGTGGTGTTCAGTGATTCGTCCATGGGTAATCTTTCGGATGGCAGTACTCAAGGAGGCCCTTTCATTATGCTCATGGCTGAAAATTCTCACCTATATATTGGCAATCTAAACAAATCCGGAGGGTCGTGAGGAGTACGTTAGCCGCAGAGACTTTAGCACTTGCAGATGGGATTGATAGTGCAGTTTTTCTAGCTACACTATACTCAGAAATCACAACTGGTGACAGTTACTGTATAAACATACCCATTGTGTGTGTAGCAGACAATCATTCTCTTCTTGATGCAGTCAAGTCCACGAAATCTGTCACAGAAAAGAGGCTGTGCATTGAGATGAGCGGTATTAAGGAACTCATGCACTCTGGGATCATCCAGCAGATTGTGTGGTCAGCTACCAAAGAACAGCTGGCTAATTGCTTGACTAAAAAGGGGGCATCTGCTCTTGTCCTCCTAAAGGCCCTCAGTGAAGGGGTTTGCAAACTCAAATTGTGAGTTAACTTTGCTATGCTCAGCAGTTATTTGAAAAAAGAAAAAAAAATTAGGGGAGATTGTTATGTTTGTCTTATGCGCATGCGCGAGAGTTCTTCCTGAATTAAGGTGTAACGGGGTTCTGGGTGTTCTGTGGGTCGCCATAATGCATGTAGAGGAATGTTTGCAAGGAAGGCAAATAAAGCAAGTTATTTGACAAGACACTTGGTTCATGGCAGCTATATGTCAAAGAAAATGGCAGCTGAACTCTATGGATATTAAAGCAGCCTTTTTACAGGGTAAAGCCCTAACCAGAGACATCTACGTGCGACCGCCTCAGGAAGCACAAAGTAATGGAACTGTATGGAAGTTAAAGAAATGTGTATATGGACTAACAGATGCTTCATTATACTGGTATAATCGAGTCAAAGACACCATGCAACAGTTTAGGGCCACTATATCAATGGTGAAGAATCGCTGACAGACAATGAAATGGACACTTTGAAGTCAAAAATTGGTCAAATACTATGGGTAGCAAGACAAAGTAGACCTGACATGATGTGTGATATATCTGTCTTGGCGTCTGACACCAAACATGCTACCGTACAAACTCTGCATTATGCAAACAAACTTGTCAGAAAACTCAAATCTGATGAGGTGACCTTGAGGTTTCAACACCTAGGAGAGAACAGTTCCCTTAAACTTGTGGTGTTCAGTGATTCGTCCATGGGTAATCTTTCGGATGGCAGTACTCAAGGAGGCCCTTTCATTATGCTCATGGCTGAAAATTCTCACCTATATATTGGCAATCTAAACAAATCCGGAGGGTCGTGAGGAGTACGTTAGCCGCAGAGACTTTAGCACTTGCAGATGGGATTGATAGTGCAGTTTTTCTAGCTACACTATACTCAGAAATCACAACTGGTGACAGTTACTGTATAAACATACCCATTGTGTGTGTAGCAGACAATCATTCTCTTCTTGATGCAGTCAAGTCCACGAAATCTGTCACAGAAAAGAGGCTGTGCATTGAGATGAGCGGTATTAAGGAACTCATGCACTCTGGGATCATCCAGCAGATTGTGTGGTCAGCTACCAAAGAACAGCTGGCTAATTGCTTGACTAAAAAGGAGGCATCTGCTCTTGTCCTCCTAAAGGCCCTCAGTGAAGGGGTTTGCAAACTCAAATTGTGAGTTAACTTTGCTATGCTCAGCAGTTATTTGAAAAAAGAAAAAAAAATTAGGGGAGATTGTTATGTTTGTCTTATGCGCATGCGCGAGAGTTCTTCCTGAATTAAGGTGTAACGGGGTTCTGGGTGTTCTGTGGGTCGCCATAATGCATGTAGAGGAATGTTTGCAAGGAAGGCAAATAAAGCAAGTTATTTGACAAGACACTTGTGTTTTTGTGAGTCAACATCAATGACAAGGGTCAACAGGTAACTGTTTAACTCTGCTGCTGCAACTTCAGCTTGAACAGGTAAAGCAGAAGAAGCCACATTGGTTTTGAAAAGGCTGCCAAGAGACTTCTTTGCCTTTTCCATGGAGGGTTGTGCACTTTGAGGCTTCTGAACAGTTTCAGTACGAGATCTCTTCTCCTGCAAGATGAAAAGAAACATCACATTAGTTTTGCTGTTAAATTACACGTAAACATGAATGCGTTTATGGAAATGTTTTATTCAAAGATATTATTATCCTGGCTATATGTATGTCTTGCTGATTCTAGCATTTCAGTCTTCAGTCGGGCCTTGATGACAGGGATGTTATCTGAGCTGATGCACTGAGCTTTCCTTAGATCCCCATCTTGTTGGGCACTCGGTTATGAGTGTGCGCTCAGGAAGTTTGAGCTCCCTCTGTGCCTCAGTCATCGCTGCATTCTTCTTCCAACTGTGGGGGAAATGCCCCACCAGCTTCTTGCACAGCCCTGTAGCTCTTGACACTCTGTCATCTTTCATTGCATTTTCTGGGAAAAAAAAAATCTGTAGTAGTAATAATAATAAATAAAATTAAGTAAATCATACAATTTGAGTGAGGCTATCACTATTATACATTTAACATATACATTATGCATAGACATTGTACATATACATTTTACATACATTCTCTCACTTATTCAAAAAAATAGTCAAACAGGGATGGGCGATGTATCAGGGAACCGGCTTTACTGACGAGATGCGCATGACAATCCCATGCAATATTTCTCCCAGTCCTACATACACGCAGCCCGCATCCCAATTTGCATACTATCAGTACTAAATAGTATGAAAGTAGATTTAGTATGTCCCATACCTGTTACACTCAAATTTCCATACTTTCTCATATCAAAAACAGTACATTCGGCATAGGGCATATAGCCGAATTGGGACGCAGTGTCACTCTCACGCAACGCACGCAAACACACACTCACACTTTTTTCTCGCCCATACAGTCACACACACGAGATGAAAACTTACCAATGGCAAGATGCAATGGCAATGCTATGCCCGAAACACTGTAGCCTTGTCCATTCATTGAGCTGTGCTGCTTTCACCATATTTGTTGCATTGTCCGTCGTAATGCAGACAAGGTTCTCTTCGTGGAGATCCCAGCTAGCAAGCCCCTTTCTCAGGCCGGCTGCAATATTTTCCCTTGTGTGATCTTCTGGGAAGTAAGCAGTTTGAAGGCAGCGAGCTTTGAGGTCGAGGTCTTCAGTAATGAAATGCACCATAAGACTTTGATAGGGCTCCGCTGAGTGACTTGACCACATGTTGGTTGTTGCTTTCAGCTCCGCAGTGACTTTCTGTTTACATTTTTTGTGTAGCTCTGGTATGGCGACCTGGCTAAAATATGTGCGCGAGGGCAAGCTGTAACGTTTATCCAGTGTGTTGATTAATGCCGCGAACCCAGGCTTTGTCACCGTATTGATGGGCATCAGGTCTTTCGCGATGAATTCTGTTACCGCTTTAGTAATTTCCACGTGGCGTTTTGAAGTGTGTTCATAAGGAGTTACACTTTCAAACATTTCTGTCAGTGATGCCTGCCTGGTGGTAATTAGCTTACTTGAACCGGTCTGCTGCATTTTAGATAAGCAACTATCATGCATGGCTTTGTGGTGTTTTTTCAATTGCTGAATCAAGTTCGTTGTGTTACCACGTGAGGTAGCAACGCTAGCAAGGCAGGTTTTGCACAATACCTGACGCTGCGCGACATCTTCCTTTTTAAACCCAAAATAGTCCCACACAGCGGAACTGCTGCTCCTCTTTGGCACTAAAGTTTCTGGTTCAGGGTCCGGTTGTGTTGAGCCCGAGGCCATTTTACAGCAGGTCAAGTAACAAGTTATGCTACAACGTAGTGTGACAAGATGCTGCGTCATCTGCAGATTGCGCTCGCGTGTAACGTGAACAGACTATAATCGCACCTATTGCGATTAGAAAATCGTGTTTTACGTGATGGCGATTTAATTGCAAATGCAATTAATCGTTCAGCCCTAGTATTCACTTGCACAGTAGTGTCCTGGTTTTGACTCTTATTCACCTCCCTACCAGTATCCACATGCCGTGTGTCAGACCCGAGGCATCTCCGCATCCAGCCACACCATCCGTTTGAGACCGACTCAGTCTCCTTGTCTTCACTTGCCACTCTGTTGGATTTAGCTTCTCATCTGATCAATCTAATTACACATGAGAGCAACAGTGTTACATGTTGTCATGTTTGTCCATCTTTTTAAGAGCGAAACCCTCCGGAGGTGAATTCTAGCTCACTGCACTCAGTTTTACCAGGACAGCAGTGGACAGAAACAAGCCTGCACACATGCATGATAACTCACTGTGTGTGCTTCCACCCATGCACCGTTTGACTATAAAGAACAGAGCTATCACATGTATGGACTACTGTTTATGCCCACAGCTCACAGATACACGCTGACAGATTTTCAGCATCAGTGTGCCTGCAGACAGCGGGCTCAGATGATCTAAGCTGTGCTGCTTTCGTCTCAGATTTACCGTGGACACGACTCAAAGGGCTCAGAAACCTCAGTCTGGAGAACTATCTGTGAATCTTCCCAAACCAGATTTACTTTACAAACCAACCCACAGAGTTTGTTGTGGTCTCAGCGCCAACCTGTGAAATGTGGTTGACGGAGCTCTCCATGCGGCGCAGCTGCGAGGCCTGGATGTCCAGCATCTGCAGCACGTTGTTGGCCAGCGTATTGATGAGGTAGGCGACGCTGGCCAGAGACTGGGTGGTGTAGCTCTTCGTCTCCTCCAGCGCTCGCTGCTTGTCTGTGGCCTACAGGGAAACAGGAAGCAGATTCAGGACAGGACCCTGCAACATGTTATTCCAGTTATCACCCCTTCAGAGGGCTGAGTGAGGGTTCAGCCTCGGTTTTATTGTTCAGGTCAGTCAGGTTTAGGCCAGGGGCGAGGCTGGGGGTCGACATTTAGCTGATGATTTAAGGTCAGGGTAAGGGGCCAGGTGATCATGTCAGCGAGGGTCCTCACAACTCTGGAAAGACAAGACTGTGTGCTGTGTATGCGTTTGCTGGAGCGTGATATAGGTCAGTGCGAACTCATTCCGAGCTCGACAAGAAACACACTGACACACGCGTGTCCCTCTCTAACACACACACACACACACAGCTGAACACTTACACATGAACAGTCTGACAACAAACCACACAAACGCAAACACAGAGCTCAGTGACCCAGAGCCGCATAATCGCATCAGACAACACCGTAATAATCAGACTTCAGCTGTGCTGCATAATAACAGCTACAGAAAACATTTGATTGGTCCAAAGTAGCGCCAGCAGCTTAAACACCAATTCCCAGCAGACCTCAGTGTGCTTAGCTTCTGTAACGCAACACATTGGTGACACCGACTACACAGGATGACCTGATCACCTGACTCATCTCTCAGCTTTGGCTGTGACAAAAACGTCTGGCCTCCAGTCACTGTGGCCCCCTTGCTGTGTGGTCAGGTGACAAGGGCACCTCCAGTCACTGTGGCCCCCTCGCCATGTGGTCAGGTGACGAGGGCCACAACAAATAAATGTATAAATCAGTTCAGCCAGTCTCTTTAGGAAACGCAAGCACAGTTTACACTCAGACATACAAACACACACCTCTGATTCATTTCAGCAGCTGGAACCAGCAAACATTTAGCAGTTTTTCTTGATAAAGTGAGCGGAACGATTAAACATTTGTTACCGATTCATTAGTGTCCATGAGGCTGGGCATTTTCAAACCAGACCCAGATGGAACCGGCTACTGGAGCCATCCCTAGCTCTACGAAATGTTCAGTGTGCAAAGCCACTAGTCACTGAATCGAGAAAATAATCGGCAGATTAATGAACATAATTTTCAGTTGCTGTTCTGATCTTTGCCTTCCTTTGTTTGGTTTCTGTTTTCTTATGCAACTCTGAGTTCTTTCCATTTTTCCATCCTCGTCTCTGTGTCTAATCTTTATTTCCATCATTTCTCCTTCTGCCCTCTGATTCCATTTTATCTCTGCATCTCTTTTTCTGTTCTTCCCCCCCACCCCCGGCCTGCTCCTTGCAGTCTTTCCATGTCTCCTCTCTTCATCACATCTCCTGCCTCTCTCTTTCCCATCCCCATCAGCCATCTGGTGTCCTGTTAGCAGTGACCTAGTTGGAGGGTCGCCTCCTCTGGCCCGAGCACAGGGCCCAGCAACACGCTGCTGCTGCTTTTGTTTCAGTCCCAAATAAATACAAGAGGTTGTGCACAAGAATCAGATCACATCTAGGTGGAATCACGTGCACACAGTGTGACTTGTGCCTGTGGATGGACCTCATGAACAGACCCAGGGGGCTGCTGGGTAGGAGCCCTGACTGTTAATGTGTTGTCTGAAGGTCACAGAGATCAGCACTGAGAGCAAAACTCAACCAGACACAAAATGACCACAATCGTTCTTGACACGGCGTCACTCTAAGTCGACGAGCATCCTGGCTGCTGCCTCCCAGCAGCCAACTGACATTCTTCAGCACATTCAAAATCTAAGAACCTCTAATGTCTCCTAAGGTCTTTGTTTTAAAAACTTTTGACTCCCTGTTAACTGCTGGCTGAGTATCACAGAACACAGTAAGAACACTAAGCAGGAGCTTAGCTTTAAATGAAAGATGTGAAATGATGTCAACTTGCACACATGATCAGCTCAGCTTTGCCAAGCTTCTCATCTCAAACCCAGCTTTCCAAAGGCTCGGCCCATTTCGCCCCCGCAGGAGCTGTTCCTGGCACCAACACGGAAGGTGGAGGCTGATACTCCTTCAGCTGGAAATCCAATTGCCATGGTTTCCAACCCAAAACACCCACACACACAGGACCAGAGTCCATGTCTAGCCTCCTGCAGCGGTACCATGCGTTTTCAGTGAGCGGCAGGAGGTCAAACTGCATCGCGATTACCTCTGTGGAGAGCTAACCGGGTCTGCACTTGCTCCATACACACTGGTTCAGGGGCTTCACCAAGGAAAAGGCACAGTCACTGAAATCAAGATTCAGAAACAAAAAAATGAAAGCTGTTAAACGAAAACAGCATTTGGGCTAGTTTTCCTGCTTCACTTCCCTCAGTTTCACATCATGTTCATCAACTTGTGTCATGTCAGATGTTGTTGTTGGATTTGTTTTACATTAAATGTTCTGAAAACTGTCCAGATATTCCTTAAACATAATCATCAAATCACATCAAAATCAAATATGTTCGAAGTAGTGGCTCATGTTATATAGTGACAGAGGCTTGAGGCCTCTGACACCATAGATTTAACCCTCTATAACACTCATCAGTGAGAAGTGGCAGCTACTATTATGAATGAATGAAGAATGAGCGACTGGAGATGTCACATGTAAACATCAGGCTTCATCAGTGGTAATGGCAGACATCTCTGACCAGTCTGCAGTATTTACACATCTGTTTGGTATCGCCTCAGCTCACTTGGAACCTTAACAGGGGGATATCAAAAGTAGTGCCACGTACTATCCCTAACATTAGACTGATAAAAAAACAAGTAAGACGAGCAGAGTCGAGCTGGTACCAGGCAGTGGAAAAGGGGCTTTAGAAACTCACGGCGGCTGCGCGACTAATTACCAAAAGAAGTTCAGTGTAAAAGTTTCCAAAGAGCCAAGGCTTCAAAAGTATTGGAGTACTTCAAATGATCACAGAACCACAAAGTGTTAACACTGTGTTAAACCACAGCAGCACAGGTGCTGAGGAGAAAACACACAGGGGTTGTTCTGGATAATGGACCACCAGAAAAGGCAAAACGCCACAAGTGGTAGAGCAGTCGATAGAAAAACCGTCATTAATGGAAGCCCCAAAGAGTATAAACTGTGGCTGCCCTGTTTTAAACAAATCAGTAGTGAATCCTGACATGTCTAATGGTGCTGTGGCCACGCCACCCAGCACGGGTCCACACAGGGCCCAGCAAGGCCCAACATGGGTCAACCCTGGATCCAAGTATTTAGCCCATAAAACAAGATCAAGTGCATGACTGGACTATGTAACAGCTCCCATCATCTGCTGGCAACGGGAATGTAGGCCATGCAGGGGCACTGAGTTGGCCCCGTTTGGCCCCGACTGGACATATACTGTAGTATGAACAGTTTAATGAACTAGAATCTACTTGAAATCGCTGAGAGGAGAAAGTTACTGCTCACAGAGACAGAAAGAAGTTTTATGGGTTATTTCAGGAAGAGAGAACTGACTCTCTATTCCTTCAGACACTGCACAAAGTGACGGCTGTTGTTGGCGCGTGGAGCTGTGTGTTGGAAACGGACGGGCCTCACAGGCTCCCTGAGGAAGAAACCTCCCCCCCAGGGCAGTGGTGTGGCTCACTGGGGGAGTGGGGGTGGTTGGTGACAAGCTGAACCAGGGTCTGGATGGGGTTTATGGGAAACAACAAACAGACAAAACCACCAGCCTTATGCTTTAAGGTTTAGAACAAACTGTTAACGCAGCCTGTGGTGTTGATTGACAGCGACATTTGCATACTTGGCTGCAGAAACATGATGAATGTGAAACGCAGTGAACAAGTGTGTATTTAAAGCCAGCAGAGGAGGAGCAGGTGCCACAGCACCCTCGCCTGCCCACACACAGCATTCGTTAAGGAAGCACATCAACAACAGACCAGTACACAGCTGTCTGACCACAGACATAAACACAGAGATTCCTCATGAGCAGATTCTGCTTATTACCTGCACAGTTATTCTTCTGGACACAGAGCACCTGAACACACCGTCAGATTTAGCCTGTGTGAGACCAGAATGGTGCTCAAACCTCGGTCCGTTCACAGAAAAAGATTAATAATGAGGATTTTGATAACCAAGTACGTCACTTTTGCTCTGCACTATAAGATGTACTGACAACTGTCACTGAATTACTTTGATAATAAAGAGTTTGTTGAAACTTGCTGATTTTCAAGCAGGTTCTGCAGCATTCCAACCCTAACATTACATCAAGATCTCAGAATTACCAGATCTTTTTCTCATTATTATAAGTTGCTAAGTCATAGTTATGCAATAAGAGCCTCTTTTTTTTTATGAATGCAAGGACCGTACATGTGAGGGTTTGCTGCTTTTCTGTGTTTTGGAATTAGGAATGTGACAAAAATAAGACATTTAAGTCCTCACCTCAGGTGCAGTTTTAGAGAAGTGATGATAGTTGGCTAAACAATTACTGTATATAACCATGATGGTTAAAAAAAGATGATCAAACACTGTTAAGTGATCAATAATTGTGTGTTGTAATGGTACAATTTACAGCGATGGTAATGTACACATCTTGTGCACCTTAATGTTTGTTACATTAAATTCCTTTGTTTTTGTTTGTTGCACTTATTGTCCTTAAATGTCTGTCCTGTGTTGCACTGTAGTCCACGAGAAACATTCTTTCATTTCCTTTCTTTACATTAACAGGTGTGAAAATAACAAAAAATAACTGAATTTTACTGAAAAATAGACTTAGTTAAATCACGTTTATTCATTCTGCCTCAGTGAGCAAGAATTTCAGAAATCTCCTCTGAGATTTGGCTCTTTTCTAAGACGAGATCAGACTTACTTCATCTTGGATTACCAGTAAAGTAATAACCTTCCTTCAATGTTTTGCATGCCCTATATGCATCCATATCACTGCAGTCACTGGTTTGAAACCAACTGCTCCAAACATCTTGTAAATTACTGCAAAAACTAAATGTAATGAACTAAATACTTTGGGAAAACCTTAAACCATTTTCATAAGTTAACCGGGTAATGCATTTCCTTGTGATGGTGCAAACTATCCTGGAGTGTAAAGGAAAAGAACCTGTATTAGTTACGTTCCAATCAAGTGTCACACCAAACTCCCCTAGATAAACCTCCAATATAAGGATTCCCTGCTTAACTGCTAATGTTACGCGGCGTGTAGCAGATGCTTTAAGACATTTTACCAACAATCATGAATCCCTCTTTAATTCAGTATGCATGAAAAGGATCAATCAAAACCTAACCCAATAAAACTTAACATCGATAGAAGGAACGTTACGTTACGACGTTTCCACAGAACACACAGCGGAGCAGCGTGAACCACTTGTCAAAGTTGGATTTTCATAAGAATAAAGGTGACCGGTGGAATATCTGGACGCCGAACTGACTCCGAGGTCTTAGTTATTCAGTCATAACTTCAGATCGGGTTTAAACCAAATTCGTGTGACTTTTAGCCTTGATACAAAAGCTAACAGTAACATAACGGAGCCTGGTACAGACATTCCATCAATCCCGTCTCTAAACCGCCCACTCCCTGCGAACATTACCCCGACATGTCTTTTCACCTGACTTCTCCACCTGGGTGTTTAATTGCTAGCATGTACCTGGACATAGCTGCTTTCGCAGTACTCCGCTACCCTCTCCAGGTTGGTGAAACTGTCCAGTAAAGCTCTCCGTCCCGCAGGAATCTCCTCCTCCAGCAGCATTTGTAGCTCCGCCATCTTCACATGCTTTCACTGCGAACGGCTAACTGCATCCATCCCGCTGCCTTCACGGGCGGTGGGAACTATCACTACTGTGGCATCAAAAATGAGTAAATGGGAAATTACTATTTCCGTCGCGCTTCAGCCACTGAGCAGGGATAATCACCATCCGCTCCGCTCCCCACAGCCCAAGGTTTAAGATAAGATGGAAATGGTGCAACTTTTTGTACTTTGCTCAGTCATTCTGAGACTATTTAGGGCCTATACAAGAACAACACAATTTAATGTTAAACCTATATACGGTATCTCTGCTTATTTCCCAATACCCAAATCATTAAAATATGTCTACATATGATAGGAACCTCACAATATGCATTTGAAGAGAAGTCAGGTATATAAAAAAAAAAAAAATCCCCCCGCCCTTTGGGGCGGTCTTGTATTCCTTCCTTCAAGCTCGGGTCCTCCACCAGAGGCCTGGGAGCTTGAGGGTCCTGCGCAGTATCTTAGCTGTTCCTAGAGATCTCAGATGTTGTTCCTGGGATCTGTTGGAGCCACTCTCCCAGTTTGGGGGTCACAGCCCCCAATGTTCCTATTACCACGGGGACCACTTGTGCCTTCACCTTCCACATCTTTTCTAGCTCTTCTTTCAGCCCTTGGTATTTCTCGTGTAAATATCGATAACATTAGCTAGTTAGCTTACAAACTAGCTTAGCTACATCTCCGTTTGTAAGATAAATGATACATAACTCTACCTTCGTAGTCGTGGATGTATGAAGAAGCATAGAGCTTAAACCCCTTATCCAGCTTGCTGCCCGGTGTTTTAGACGTCGAACTGCATATTCGGTCGGCATCCGTGATCTTCATCTTTGGTAGTTCTTGGAGACATCTTGAGTAGAACAGTGCCATATTCCATACTAGTCGCAAACCGGAAACGGATGATTCTGTTTTGCAGTATACGGAAATAAGTTGCGCATAAGCCCTATCGATCTTGTACTTAGAGCTTGTTCTTGTGCTGCCAGGATTAGTGCCTCTGTTCCGTCTTTCAGTCCAGCTTTGTCCAGCCACTGGTAGGATTTTTTGATATCAGCCACTTCTTCTATCTGACGGTGGTACATACCGTGCAGGGGTTTGTTTGGCCATGAGGGTTAGTGCTCATCCTTCCCTTGTTCTTCTGGTTTCTGCTGCCTGAGGTATTCACTAAGCACGTCATAACTTGTGGCCATCTGCCTGATGTATTCATGGATCTTTGTTGTTTCATCCTGGACATTCACTAATCCTCAGCCTCCTTCCTTCCGCTTAGTGTACAGTCTCAGGATGCTGGATTTGGGGTGAAACTCGCCGTGCATTGTAAGGAGCTTACTTGTCTTGATGTCAGTGGTCTCCATCTCCTCCTTTGGCCCGCTTATTATGCCAGTGGGGTACCCGATGACCGGCAGGGCATAGGTGTTAATTGCCTGTACTTTGTTCTTTCCATTCAGCTGACTTCTCAGGACTTGCCTTACTCTCTGCAGGTACTCGGTAATTGCTGCTTTCCTTACGGCCTCTTCATGGTTCCCATTTGCCTATGGGATCCCAAGATACCTGTAGCTGCCCTCAACATCTGCTATGTTGCCTTCTGGTAGTACAATCCCCTCAGTTCTGACTACCTTCCCTCTCCTTGTTACCATTCGACCACACTTATCCAGTCTGAATGACATGCCGATGTCCTGGCTGTAGATCCTAGTGGTGTGGATCAGTGAGTCTATGTCTCATTCACTCCTGGCATACAGCTTGATGTCATCCATGTAGAGGAGGTGGCTGATGGTTGCTCCATTCCATAGTTGGTATTCGTAACCACTCTTGGTGATGATCTGGCTGAGGGGGTTCAGCCCTATGCAGAACAGCAGCGGGGACAGAGCATCTCCTTGGTAGATACCGCACTTGATGTTGACTTGTGCAATTGGCCTCTAGCATTGTTTTCCACACTCCCATTGAGTTCTTGACGAAGGCTCTTAGAGTCCTGTCGATGTTGTACAGTTCCAAGCATTACAGGATCCATGTATGAGGCATCGAGTCATAGCCTTTCTTGTAGTCAATCCAGGCAGTGCACAGGTTGGTTTGTCTAGTCTTGCAGTCTCGAGTGACTACTTTATCAACCAGTAGCTGGTGCTTTGCTCCTCTGGTGTTACTACCAATTTCTTTCTGGGTGCTGCTCATGTATTGAGCCATGTGCCTGCCCATCTTAGTTGCTATGATGCCTGACAGGAGCTTCCATGTTGTGCAGAGGCAGGTTATTGTACGGTAGTTGGATGGCACTGCTCCGTTCTGAGGATCCTTCAGGATCAGGACTGTCTGGCCTTCAGTGAACCACTCAGGGTGGGTTCCATCCATTAGTAACTGGTTCATTTGTCCCGCCAGGTGCTCATGGAGTGAAGTTACCTTCTTTAACCAGTAGGCATGGATCATGTCAGGGCCTGGTGCTGTCCAGCTCTTCATACTTGAGACCCTCT